TTAGTTTTTGTTGCTTTTATATTGGAATATTTGAACTGAGTCTGTAATAAAATATAGGAAATGTTTCTCTGTGTGTATTTTTGATGAAATAACATTTCCATTCGTGCAAATTTGGCTCGCTTGAGACCAAACATTGGACAAGACATTTCCATGCAAAAACCTTTTTCATTTCCCGTTCAATTTGATCTAACAAAGGATATATGTGTTAGACGCGTTCGAACGCCGAATTGCTTCTAAAATATTTATATGGATCGAGTAAGGAAAAGATTGTTTTCAGAAAACTTTCCATTGAGCAGCATTTTAAGCATTGAGCAGCATTTTAACTTCTGGACTTAGCAAAATGAAAGAAATCCCAAGACAATTTTTTCAGAGCATCTTATCTATCCAGAAATTGTTCCATAGAATATCCCCATCATTTTTTTCAGCAGATAGACACTGAAAAATCTCTCCAAAAAAATGACTGCATCCAGAAAATCGCCCATCTGCATTGTTCCAAATATGCTTAATCTGGATTTTCCCACTGTTCATGGAATTGCATCCAGGTTTGAACTCAGCTGGTGCCAGTCATCTGTGCACGTGCGGTGCGCGTGTCAAGTCACATGACCCACCCCAAGCCAATCGATATCCCGTTCTCTGTCTGCTCAGATCTCGCCCTTTGAGCTGAACACAGACAGAACAGTTCAAAAACCGCGGTCCGATCAGTTGTTTCGTCGAAGAGAAGACCACCTCACTCTGTGAGATGTGTATGTATCCATAATCGTCCTATTTGTAGTTGTAGTTTAGCCAAAAATATCCGCATCTTAGAGATCACAGAAATGTTTTAATTTCCAGGCTTTTAAATGCATTGGTCTCATTTCAGGAAACCTTAATTTTCCAAGCTGCCATAACGTTCCCACGCTTTAGCTTTATCCAGAAAGCTGCTTGGAATGGATAGCTGCCGAAACCGGCTCTCCAAGCAGGTTTCTGGTTTTTCCAACTAATTTTTTTTACTCTTATCGATTCTGTCTCTACCAGCTGGTTTTCTCATAAGAATGTCCTCTCTCCATGATTATTCTTCCGGGATTTTCCATTGCACATCCGAACTGTCAGTTGTACTCTATTTCGAGATGAGCATATCGATCGTTCAGGCAGTTGCCTTAACCTGCATTTAGGGGTCATAGTTTGAGCAAGTCGGAGTCCTTAACTTGACCTGGAAATATCCAGGAAATGCTTTTAGGGTTTCAGCTTAGGTGTGGTTTCATAAGTTTCATTTTATTGAATCAGAAGATTTATTTGTCTTTCGATGTGACTGAACAATCATTGGTAGCAGAAAGAATATTGATATAGTCAAAAAACAAAAACGTTGCTTAGTTGAGAACCTAATGAATAATAGGAACGATTGTGTGCAGAAGAAAGTACGTAAAATATGTTTCCTACATTCCTGAAGTGCCGCTGCCTAGTTTTCCACTGTTGTAATTACAGTAATTATTAAAAATTTTCTTGTAATTGCAGCTACTTTAATTAATTAATGCTCGGATATAAATCAAACATTTTCTTTCTCTGTTTACATTTGGTCGTTAGTTGCGTGCAAGTTGCCGTAAAACCGGCGGCTCCTTCCTACTTCAATTTAATAATTAATCTTTCAATCATCATTTCTTAAAATAGACTAATTAATGCACATTTTATGTCACACAGAGTAACGTAGAAGCAACGTGTTTATCTTATAATTTTTTTAGTACGTCAATTGCTAACAATATTTAATTCTGCATTTTAGAATGCACCGTCTATTCTAGAATTGGGTCAAATCCTCCATTAGCCAAGGCATATTTAATTGGCTGCTGATGTTCACAATGCAGGAGAGTTTTAAAAAAGATGTAATTTAAATAATTTGTATTATTTTCAGAAATGTCACATTATTTAACTTTAACTACTATTAAATACTCGTTTACTACTAACTATCCAACTTTGGTCACAAAACCAAACTTCGTTCGATAAACTTTGCTATTTTGTGTCCAGACGCCGCTTTTTATAAAAGACTTTTTAATACACACTTTTTAACAATACAATAAGGGTTAATGTGCGAAAGTTATTGTTGAAAAATTGATTGATTATATAGAAAGTTTTGAAGGCTATTTGAAGGTCGATTTTTAGCGATGTAAGAGAAGCAACGCTTAAGGGTGTGAAAAAGAACAGAAATAAACCAAATATTTACACTATTAACTGCGAATCAATTAAAATTAATTGTTTAAAAATAAATAATAGTAAAATAAACGGGATTGAAAAAGTAACAACAGATTAAATTGACCTCAAAATATAATGAAGTAATGATCCAACTAGTGCAAATATAATTTATTATATATAGATAATAAAACAATAGCAAATAAATATAAAAACGTAAATAATCTATATAGCACAATATTTTAGAGTAGCCATAATAAATTGAAAGGCGTCGATTGGTAGATGTGATTAGGTGTTTTAATTTATACGAGGAATATTCTACGATAAAACCTTGTTGATGTATGATTCTTCTTCGACATTGTAAAACTATTTTGCTCAATGCATATTTGCAAGTTTGAGAAATGGCATTTTAAAAGGATTTTGCGATTTGCCACGTTAGAGATCTATAAAATTGTAGATCAATACTCAATCACGTGCTATTGACCTTGTCTTACATCTACAAGTCAGTAAATATTGGCCAAGTACACCAGTTGAAAATAATAATTAGTTTTTGCGCTAATTTTTTTATTGATAAATGAAATGTTATCGTTTGAAGAGGGCCGCACGAGACGCCATCATTTTGCCAGACATTCGACATTCAAGCGCTTTGTAAGCAATATTGTTTAATCTTATTACTATATGAAGCAACAACAACACTCGAATAAACTAGTAACAAAGTCGATTCTGAAGTAGTTAATCTACAGTTTCATATGCTACCTATTTCGATGTATGATAATGCAGTGAGAACTCATCTGAAATTGGAGCTTAATTTTTGGTGGCAAGGTGGCCAGTAAGTCAGAGCTTTCACTGCAACACTTCCAAGCAAATTGGCAAATACTTTTAACAACCTTTTGACCGTAAAAATGCCCACAAATCTTTATTAGCGCGAAATAATCGTTAACACACTAAAGACGACTGCAAATATTTTAGCATGATCATTAACATCATATAAAACTGAAATTGTGTCTGAAATTTAAAATTTAACCTATACAGGGTGTCGCAATAAGGATGGTAAGCGGCTGTATATTAGAAAGTATGTGTTGTAGAGTGATCGGAAAAAAATTTGATAACAAACTTGATGAAAAGAATTTGCTGGAAATTATTTTGAAATTTCTCAGGCGACCACTAGACGGCGTAATTGCAAACGGTATTTTACAAAGTCGATTTTATACAGAAATTGTCCCTATAAGTGAAACATCTAGTAAGTTTGAAAATAGTGGGAAAAATAAAACTGCATTTTTTCTTCCAAAGCCTACTTTAATTATTTGAATTAGGCAACCTTTCTTATTTTCAAGTATTAAATCGATTCCAGAAATTATTTTAAGATGCGGTTTTTGCGGTTTAGTTCATTTTTTCCTGTGCTTTCGAATGCGTGTAAAATAACTGGATGGAAGTATTTGACATTTTTGTGAAAAATTAATACAAATAATTCTTTTCGAACAGCGGATTTTTTAGAAAATGATTAAGATTGCTTTTATATCACATATTGTAGAGTTTTTATTGCTCTTTCAATTTACAGTAAAAACTTTGAAATCGATCAAGCCGTTTCGGAGTTACAGGTTTCTTTGACTTAAGCGGTTTGACTTTCCCCCCACGCTTTACTTGACAAGTTAGGAAAAAAGTTCATAAGGAAAGTAGTACGGTTTTTTATGACCTTTTGACTAAACTTACTAGATGTTTCACTTATAAGGACAATTTTTGTATAAAATCGACTTTTTTATTTTGGTCATCTGAGAAATTTCAAAATATTTTCCAGCAAATTCTTTTCTTCAAGTTTGTTATCAATTTTTTTTTTCGATCACTCTACAACACATACTTTCCAAGATACAGCTGCTTACCATCCTTATTGCGACACACTGTATATTGATCTGCAAATGGGTTGGTAGGTAATATCCAATCAATCGTTTCGAATTTGTCGATAACCGGTCTCGATATCTGTTCTTTACCTAGGGAGATAAAAGAGTAAATAAAAATAAGAAATCATACAAATTATTTAAAACAGTTTATTTAAACGCCTGTTTTAACAAAAGTAGTATTTAAACGGTTAATAATATCTCAATACCTTTTCAGCAGAACGTCGGAAGAAGTCTTGTACTCATGAAGGTTTACCAAGCTCTAGTCTGTAAAACGTGAGCAACAAAACTTTTGATCTTAAGGACATCGGTGTCTAGGAGCTTATAGCTCCCAGATAAATATCTGAATACTCATCAGACTCTTTTTGAAAGAACTACTCGAAAACTTTCCTCAAAAATTGTTGTCTCTAGAGAGACGTAAAATTATTGTCACGTTTGAAGATTTTCATACGAATATGAGAAAACGTTGGAAAAACTGTAACATTCGTCATACTTTCATAGAACGGGTTCTAAGCTACTGCTGATTAAAAAACATAATTGTTTTGTCGACATTCTGAACACTCCAATTATTCCTAAAAGAATTAAACTTTCAAAGCTTGATGGCGAATTTTGAAGCTTTTTATTTTAAACGGTCCAAGGGACCCAAAAGAACCAGCTCTTAATGCAAAGTCATGTTCTGGGTGTGGTTAAATAACCGTCAATGTAAAAATCTAAAAATTGTATTAACAGGAATCGAAAGAAACTGGCGGTTTTTCCAGATATGACCTGAAAATTTATTAAAAATAATTCATTAGCGATTTAAAAAAAATCACTGATTTGAAAAAGCTCCTCTGTAAAATCTTAGTCCTAGTCCTTAGCCTCAATTGTCGTTGTTTTCCTAAAGCGTTTGCCGAAGAGAGTTTCCAGCTGACTGTAAAAATGAAACAATATCCAATTTTTTTATTGTTATAGATAATTTAGTACCATGTTTATGGAAAAAAAGAAACTCGTGCCACCGGATGGAGGATGGGGGTGGATTGTGGTTATTGGGGCTAGCGCGGTTAATGTAAGTAGCACAAATCAGCGACAAAAATGTCCCTTTGTTGATAAATAATTGTTAGAAGTTTGCGAAAACATATTATCAATTGTTTGCAGCTCTGTACAAGATCAATAGAACAATCATTTGGACTTCTTTTCGGCGATCTATTGAGAGATTTAGGAGTGGGAACGACCGGAGCTGCAGTAATAATGAGTACTCTAGACGCGCTGATTAACTTCTCTGGACTCTTCGTTGGGCCCTTGATCCGAGCCTTATCGTACCGCAAAGTTTCCGTTGCCGGTTCCATTCTGGTTGCTAGCGGATTGATGTTAACCAGCTCTGCGAATAGTATGGCCCATATTATTATCACCTACAGTATTATTAATGGTAGGTACATGATACGCATCAGTGGCACAAAGTTCTTACGTTTTGCGAAAGAAATAAAAAAGTCCCACTGATCTGTCTGTAAATATACAGGGTTGCTCAATACTGCGTCAAAGTGCGATATCTCAGTAAATATGAACTTTAGAAGAAAATACTTCCTACAAAACTTTTTGATGTTTAAAAAGTGCGCATTTCAAAATTACCTTTCAATATACGGGGTCATAAACTCATGGTAGTTAGGTACCAACTGTGGTTTTTTAAATAGACCCCCCCCCCATTTTTTGCGCTTTTCGGATTTATCGTCAAATTTTCATTTTTCTTTTCATTTCAAGTTTATTTCAAACGTTTTACCTGAAGATAGAATTTGACAGCCCCACTTTTGCATGTTTTATCGATTTAACAAAAGCATTTGACGGTGTCCGACTGGAAGACATTATCAACATCTTGAAGAAAAAACGAACGGCGGCATTAATTATAAAAACAATATACTACCTAAACACAGGCAATTCAACCCGAATTA